GATTTCAATCCTCCTCTGTCAAAATCCAGGCTGATTTGTTATCACTGAAAATGTCTTTTAAAAATCTTGGCAATTTGGAAAATTGCTGGAATTGGTTTGGATTGGTTGGGCAGACTCCCTTTTCACATGCTCTGTCTAAATGTCATGGTGCCGACCCACTACAGCAGAGTTCTTAGCCAGTGCGCCTTAGGCAGCCTACCCGCCCTTAGTTAGAGAGACCAGCTCTTATAAAACTCAAGTTTCTGTGGACAGGGGTGGTTTCTGACAGAAACAAAGGTAGTTTTGTGGTGCCTGATTCACCCCTGTCGATTCGAATACTCCTCCATCGAAATCCAGACCCATCAATTTATAGCCTTTGTAAATTTTGCCAAAAATGAAAAAAATAAAAATCGCTGGAAATGGTTGGGATTGGTCTGACAGCACCCCATTTCAATCTCTCCGTCGAAATTTCGCGCCGCCGGCTCATTTTAAGCGAGTTACGCCCGTTTTTCTTGTACTGGCTCGCCTGCTATGTAGGCAGCCCATTGTACGCTGCCCGCCACATTCAAAAGATCACCCCTTAAAACTCAAGTTTTTCTGGACAGGAGTGGTTTCTGACGGAACCAAAAGTAGTTTTGTGGTCCCCTCGTTTCCCCCTGTCGATTCGACTACTTTTCCGTCGAAATCTGGACCCACCCATTTTCGCTAAAAATGGGAAGGCTATAGCCTTTGTAAATTTGACCAAAAATGAAAAATTTGAAAATCGCTGTAAATGGTTGGGATTAGCCAGACAGCATCCTCTTTCAATCTCTCCGTCGAAATTTTACGCCGCCGGGCCATTTTTAGTGAGTTACGCCTGGTTTTCTTGGGCTCGCCTGCCAGGTAGGCAGCCCGTTGTACGCTGCCCGCCAGATTTCCAAACACCACCCCTTAAAACTCAAGTTTCTCTGGACAGGGGTGGTTTCTGACGGAACCAATAGTAGTTTTGTGGTCCCCTAGTTCCCCCCTGTCGATTCGACTACTTTCCCGTTGAAATCTGGACCCATCAATTTTCGCTAAAAAATACAAAGGCTATAGCCTTTGTAAATTTGGCCAAAAATGAAAAAAATAAAAATCGCTGGAAATGATTGGAATTGGTCTAGGAGAGTCGCCTTTGACC